CCGAATCTGTCCAAAACAGAACACTTGATTTATCTGTCTAACATCTATTTTTCCTCTGGTCTTTTCCACTTCTGTGACACCATAATCCACCTAGCTGCTCTGGCTAAAAAACTAAGAATTACCTTTAATTCATCCCGCTTTCTTCATCTCTAACATCTAGTATATATTTTTGTTTTGTTTTGTTTTTGTTTTTTAAGAGAGTGAGGGGAGGAGGGGCAGAGGGAGAGAGAGATCTTAAGCGGGCTCCATGCCCAGCATGAGCCCAGTGTGGGGCTGGATCTCACAGCTCTGAGACCATGACCTGAGCCAAAATCAAGAGTCAGCTACTTAACTGACTGAGCCACCCAGGTGCCCCCAGTATATTGGTCTTTAATGACTCTATCTTCAAAAGACATCCTGAGTCTTCACTTTTTTGTCCATCTCTACAATACCATCTGCATGCAAGTCATTATTATCTCTAACTTATACTAACTCAACTGCTTTTTTATTGGTTTCCCTGTGTGCAGTCTCAATCCTCATAATCCATTTTCATATAGCTACCAGAATAATTTTTAAGAGAAAATTATGTGATGTTACTCCCTTAATTAAAATGCTTCAATGCACCCTTTTGCATTTTGAACAAAATCCATGATCTCTACCAAGACCTTTAAGCCCCTCCCTATGGGATAGTTATAGCACTTATTATCTTAATCTGTTAATTTCTTATTTATTGTCCGACTCCTTTTATACTCAACATTCTGATTACAGAACTGCAACAGAACAATTGTCTGTTTTGTTCCCTACCATAACCTCAGCACTTATATGTGACCAATAAATACCTATCAACTAAATCTTTCATATTCCATCAAGTTCTCTGTATGCCCAGTCTTCATGGCAGAAGAAACGTCTTCCACATTTGTGCTTGCATAACACTTTGGACACACCAGTACTCAGGTGTTTAAAAGTACTTCTCACTAGAGCGTGAACTTTGCAAGAGTATAAACTGTGCGATTTTCTTCTTTGAATTCCTGGTGTCTTACTCACTGCCTGGTAAGGAGTAGGTAAACAAATGAGTATTTACTAAATAAATGAATGAATGAATGCATGCTATTGAATGCTCCCAGAAATATGAAACATCATTTTTTAAAGATTTGTTTATTTGAGGGAGAGCAAGGGGGGGAGGGGCAGAGAGAGAGAACATCTCCAGCAGACTCCGTGCTGAGCATGGAGCCTGATGCAGGCTCCATCAGGATGCAGGGCTCCATCTGGGGCTCGAGGCAGGGCTCGATCTCACGACCCTGAGGTCATGACCTGAGCCAAAATCAAGAGTCCTACGCTTAACCAACTGAGCCACCCAGGGACCCCTTCAGCAAACACTTTCTAACAAATCTGGTGCCAAAAAATTCTTAAAAATATACATGTTCGTTGATTGACCTCATGTGATGTTAGTTTAAATGCTTCTATTGTATTTATTACTGTACAGTAGGTCATCTAATATTATTTGAAGTTGATGAACTTTCTATTAGCCCCTTAGGGTCTTTAGTTTTGAGCTGTCTACAGAAATAAGTGAAAAGCACTCAGCATAATTCTTCAGCTGCAGAATAGAAGAGAGTACCCTAGCAAAAAGCTTTTGTTATTTTCAAATATTTGTGAGTGACTGCTTAGTTTTTTGTTGTTGTTGTTTAGAATAAATGAATTTGTATATAACCCTCTTTTGTGTATGTGTGTTGCTCTGGGGTACCCAGAGACCAAGTGATAAAGCTATGTTTCTTAATCTTTTGACTACTTGGCACACTTGAAAATCTCTTTATTTTCCCAAGGCATATTCTTCTTATCTCCTTCTGACAAATGGGTGGGAATGTGGAGTTGATAAAAACATATACTTGATTAACAGAGAAAAATGAAGAGCAGAGTTGTAAAGAGGAGGAACAGATGGAAGAGAGGATAAGAGCAGGAATGGGAATATATGAAAAGTGAAAAATTAATGGTGAGAAAAATGAAGAAAAGAGAGAGAATAGGAAGAAAGACACCAGGGACTGATTGCTCTTATTTCTCAATACCTCCAACCTGTCTCCACCCACAACAGTCTGTTTCAGGCAACTCGCCAGCTCCCTGAAATGCTTCTGATTCTTAATGGACTCCTTGGGCAATTTTCCATTACTCATTTGTTCACTGCCTACACTCCGCAGATGTGGGGGTATGAGGCTCAGTTTATTAGTTTTTGAATCCTGCTGTAACAAATTACCCTAAATTTAGGGGCTTAAGCAACACAAATTTATTATCTCTGTAGGTCAGAAGTCTGACATGGGTCTCATGGGTCTAGAATGAAGATGTCAGTAGTTTCTGGAGATGTTAGAGGAATATTAATTTCCTTGCTCATTCTAGTTGTTGGCAGAATTTAGTCCCCTGCTACTGTAGCACTGAGATCTATGTTTTCTTGTTGGCTGTCAGCTGAAAGCCATTCCCAACTTTGAGAGGCCACCCACATTCCTCACTCATGGCTTCCTTCCTCTATCTTTAAAGCCAGCAATGGTGGGTTAAGTCCTTCTCATGTTGCATCACTCTTACCCTTCACCCCTTGTCAGTTTCCCTGACCACAGCTGGAAAGAGTTCTCTGCTTCTAAGGACTCAGGTGATTAGATTGGGCTCACATGAATAATCCAGGATAATCTCTCCATCTCAAGGTCTGTAACTTTAAAAACATCTGCCAACTCCCTTTTGCCAAGAAAATAACACATTCACAGTTTCTGGGAATTAGGGAGTGGACATTTTTGGGGGCCATTATTCTGCTCACCACACTCAAAGTATGGGGTGCTGAGCAATTTGATTTCTGATTGTTGCTCCTGGGAACCTTAGAGGAAGAAGGGGAATGGGAACAGACAAAATGTATGAAGCACATTAGGAGGTTCTTGTTTTCATGTGAGAACATTAAATTAGGAGGGCCAAACAAGAACCGAAGGATTCCCGGGTAAGTGACATTCGTTCACCAAGAGTCTCCTCAAAATGAATTCTAATAGGCTCTTTAGAATTAATAGAAAGAAAAAGACAGCTAGGAAATGAGTGGGGCATTAATGGTAGAATGTTAGAAGGTACCTACACATCACTTAATTTACTAATTTAAAAAAATTATTAAACTTTTTGAGATAATTATAGATTTACATGCAGTTTTAAGAAATAATAGCCACACCCAGTTTCCCCCAATGGTAGCATTTTTTGTAACTGTAGTACAATATCAAAATTGAGAAATTGGCATAGATACAATCCATCTATTTTATATAGATTTCACCAGTTTTATAAGCACTCATTTGTGTATGTGTATAGTTCTGTGCAGTTTTATCACATTTATGTGTGACCTCAATCATAGTCAAGATATAGAATGATTTTACAATTTACAAAGTGGGTTCTTTGAGCTCTTAAGAGTTCCATCTAGGTGATTCAAGGATGCTGTAGTAAAGAGAGAGATAAAAGGGCTAGGTCAAATAATTAGGATTTCAGGCACCACTTTCTCTTTAAACAAAAGTCTGCTTTTATCTGTTTTATGTACTGAAACCACATATACTATTTGACAAAAGGATTCCATGGCTAAAAACCAATGGCTTAGTCCAACAGTTTTATTTTACAGATGAAGAAAGTGTATGCATGTGCATCTATGTACCCCGGCACATACACTATGATTAGTACTCAAACTGTTAATGATCAAAATTTGTGTAGTTAGCTAACGATCAACGTAAAACAAAACACTCAAAAAAAAAAAAATACTCCCCCCCCTAATTTAGCAGCCAAAAAACTATAATTTAAGATATTTTCCCATCTTAATAAATGGTTCAGCTTAGAAATAAACTGCCAGGAGGTTAGTAAGAGTTACCCCATTCTTCTGTGAAAAACTTAATAGAAGTAATAGTGTACAGAATATAGTGTACACTGGATTCTTCACTGGTTTTACAGAATCTGGAGGTACGTGTTCAGTGCTATGGAAACTTTAAGAGGAATATTCACAACTGGAGTCTTTTGGAAGCGAACAACTAGGGTCTGATAGGAAGTCATGGGAAAACTGAAAAATAGGACACAAATTGCAGAATAGGACATGTTTGGTTTTTTTAAAGATTTTTTTGAGAGAGAGAGAGAGAAGGAGAGCATGGGTGGGGAAGGGGCAGAAGGAGAGGGAAAAGTAGACTCCCTGCTGAGTGGGGAGTCTGAAGTGGGGCTCGATCCCAGGACCATGAGCCGAAGTAGCACCCAGGCACCCTGAGAATTGGACATATTTTGCCTATAGAAAAGATTTGGAGAAAACAGCATACTTTTTCTCAAATGTCTGGAAAATAGTCCTGTGAGAGAACTGTTGTATATCTGTAGAGCAGTACCCATGTATGAAGGTAACAAAGAAATGCATTTTCCACTCAATAGATGCAAACCTTTTATAACAATTAGAGCAGCCTCAAAATGGAATGGAAAGCCTCACATAGTGAGCTTCCTGTTACTGAAATTATTGAAGCAGAGGCTTACAAAAGATGGTTTCGAAGGATTTTTGCACTGGGTTGGAAGTTAGACCTTATGATTTCTAAGGTCCCTTCCAACTAAAGGCTGTATGATCCAGGCAAGGAACTCTAATAGTTTAAATTCTGGTTTGCCTTCCTTTGCATGAAAAAAAATCAACTGATTTGTTTATGCAGGTAGGATTTCCTATTGATATGAATATTTTTCATTTTTATCAATAGATATTTATCAAACCCCTATTATGTGCCCAGTCGTGTTATGTAAGGAGGATATAACAATAATTAGAGATGGGTCTTATCTATATTGACAAAATAAGTATGAGAGAGATAGGACACTGGATGGTTTTCATTTATATATTTCTATATTCCAGAACAATGTGAATTCTATGTTATTATAAATGAAAAATGTTAGTAATATTAGAATATAAAATATGAAACCTAATTAAAAAATAACAGTGTAACATGTTAAACAGTCTAGAAGATGATATAATAAAATTATATGCAATCAGGTACTAATGACAAAATAAAGAACAAATTATTTAATTTTATTAAAAATTTCCAATTTATAACCAAAATATACAACCACTACATTTAAAATCAGTTTGTACACTCACAGTTAAAGTGCTAAGTAAAAACATTTACAAAAACTGACATCAGTCTACTGTAAACAAAATAAATCTACAAGAGCAGAGTGCAAAGCACATCCAGCTAATGTGAAAGTACAGTTCATGCTCTAATCAAGTGCACTTGCCCTATACATATCTCAACAACAGTAACTTTCCCACTCACTCGGAAATGAATGAACAATTTTAAATACATAAAAAAGAAACATGAAGAACTAATGCCACAAAATACAAGTCTTTAGCATAAACACTTTCTAACTAGATGCTTATATGATAAAAGCAAGATTAAGATTTTAGAATCAATTTTAGAATCACCTTATCAATTTAATTCAGAATACCATTTGAAAACTAAATTGCCAAGTGCCAGGTGTTTAAAAATGATAGTTTTTTTAAATAATGAAAAAGGCATATTGTTTCTACCTTTGTATCTCTTGAAAAGAGGAGGAGGTGGTGGTCATGTTAATAGTAAAATGAGGAAAGATATTTTTCTATACTAAATGAGCAGAGATGGAAGATAGATAGGCCTAGCTGGATGGTAGAAAAAACTGAGACTGAAATACAAAGTCTTAAAAGAGTGTGCGTGATGGATATCTAAAATGCTTCTGATGTAGCTCTTGAACTGAAAAACAGAGGATCAGCAAGGCCCTGACTTCAATGACTCAAAGATCTAAATGACTAGCTCCCCTCCTCAAGGTCACTGAAGATATACAGCACTTTCAGACATCACATGGGTTCAGGGAAAGAGAAAGAGATTCCCAAGTTAGGTCACTTAATGGTATTTCTTGCCTCAAAAGCTTAATATTCTAACTGATAGTAATTTGTGTTAATAGCAATGTGTTTGTCTTTAATGCAGATTTATCTTTAAGAGGAATAAAAGGGCTATAGTCACTAACACTTGAACATGAATTAAAGCAAATTTCCTTCTTCTTAACACTTGAAGATAGATTATACTTCAGAAGTATTGATAAGGAAAACTAGGGATAGAAGGCAGGTAGGAAGGTCTTGAGCAATGTAGCATTTGAGGAATAGGCCAGATGGAGAGAGTATGTACCTGGGCAGGGCTCAGGGTATCACTAGAAAGAAGTGTACCAAGCAGTTATTGAGAGATCCAAATCAACTTTCTCCACTATAAAAGTATATCTAAAACTGAGACATCTAGATTAATATGGAGTACACTAGATCAGCTCTTGTTGGCTAATCTGTTGCCCTTATTATTCATAATAATAATATTTATATGAAGAGAAGTAGTGTGAGCTTAGAACAATCCAATTTACAACCTCTAAGATAATAGCTCTTCTAAAATTCTGAGTTTCCTGTGGAGGAGCTTCGTATTTTTTACATGCATTTTTAAATTCATATACTTTTAGTATATTCAACAGTATTCATTATTTTAGAAGGCCTACCAAGAAGGTGAAATTCTATGGCTAGCAAAATTTGAGTTCATTGTACACATTGTGTGTGTGTGTGTGGGGGGGTACTTATTTTGCCTCTAAATGATATTTACAGACTAATCAATTGATATATGATAATCTCCTGGGATCTGAAAGTTTTTATGTAACTTACATATTCCCAAAAGGTATCTGCTTCAATTACTACAATCATTTTGTTTAAATATCTTTAAAACTAAGCAATTTAACTACAAAACAAAGCAGAAATTTCCTGTGGTTATCTACAGTTTGCATCTCCTTCATAAAGTCACTGATAGGTTGATAAGAGGAGTTGGAATGGGAAGTCAATATACTTGTTCTAAAAGATTGTTTGCTTCTTTCTTGAATATGTATTATGAAATTGCAAACATTTGATCACTTTTGACAAACAAAACCAGCAATTTCACAGAGTTCAGAATAATACTATTCAACTATGATGACAGTATATATCTCCTTAAACTGTTTTTTTCTGAGAATCAGGCCATCTACAAAGGGTTTTCTGCTGAGATGACCATAATAACCTAATATACACTAAGAAAACAAGACAAAACAAAGGCTCTCACACACACACACACACATACAAGCTCACATTAAGTAAAAGTGAGCTTCAGGTATCACATATTATAGACAGTGAAATAACTAATAGCTATTATTAATTATAGACACATATATTTATATAAATAATCCCCTAAATTCACTATCAGATTAAAATACAGCAAAGTCAGTATTTTCTAAGTTAAACAATTTTAAATTAGAAGAAACAGTTTCCATAGCTCTTTCAAATAACAAAAATAAGACAATTTAATAGCTTTTGAGTGTCAAATGAACTTCTCTTTTTGGGGCTGGGGAAATCAATGGTGGTGGTAATATCTTTATCGTACCAAAGTAAATGTCTAAACTGCAGTCACTCCTTCACAATATGTAATACTTTGAAACTTCAATGAAAAAATAAAACTCTCAAAAATAAAATTTTGCATTTGAAAAAAAGCAGAAAAGTTGAAGTTGGTGTTAAAGATATGTGAAATGGAATAATTCTAGAGAAGTTAATTTTTTTTTAAAAAGATGAATGATAAAGAATTCAGATTTACTCTGATAACTCACAGCAAAGGCCGAGATAGCACCTGATGACAAGAGAACTTCCAGACTAATATTTTCAAAATGAGAGAATCCTTTTTATGATTAAAAAAAATAATTTTAAGTTCACATATAAAGAAAATACAGTATTTTCAAGTACATATTCACCTCAGTTCAATGTAAAGAACTTGTGTTGATTTTATCCCAGAAATATAGAATTATTTCTTATTAAATGTTTCTGCCGACAGGAGTAGTTCAGGGAAAAATTATCTGAGGCAGGGCTAAGGGAGTAAAGGAAGACAATTATAAATGTTCTTTTCAAAACTGGGGAGGGGAGAAGTAGTTAGAGAAATAGAAAAATGGTGGATGGATAAATACAAATTAAATCACGCTAGGATTATCTGCTTTATCTTACAGAATCTCCCATTATCGAAACCCAGAAAATCTTCAATGAAATGTTGGGACCTCAGATTCAAGTTTAACAAATGTAGTAACAAAACATGCAGAGCCAGAGAACTGAAAATAGAGGTTTGTTTTTTTTTTTCCTTTACAGGCAATTACAAAATAATATTGTAACATAGCTATGCCTAAATGAGAGAACCTGGTCATCTAATTTAATTTCTGGAAGCCAGGAAAGTTATCTGATACAGTGAACTGACCAAAGACAAGGAATCAAGCATAGCCAAAGAACACATCAGAAACCAGTACATTTTCCTACATCAACTTTCCATTATTCTTCCCTACCCATCAGACACCAAACCCAATACCTTGATTATAAATCTATAGACCAATGTGTTCAATAGGTTGATATGAGCTAATGCAGATAATCAGCGAAAGACAAAGATCTTTAAAAGTAACAGGAACCTCCTTGGCCTGGTTCTCAGAGAACACAAATGTACAAGAGAACTCTGCTGAGAGATGGTACTAATGGAATCTCTACATCCTATTAGATAGTTAAGGAGGCTTTATGAAAACATCTTCTGCATAGCCAGAAAAAAAATTAAAAATAACCACATTTATCTCTAATAATTTAGAGCAGGACATTGCTCATGGCAATCTGGCAACTATACTTATTCAATGAATCTAAGAACATTTTAAGAATAATTATTGAGCAGAAAAATTTCAATCCACTCCTCTGAAATGACTTTTACATTTTATAATCATTGTAATGTTGGTAAAACCTGAGGGCTTTTAAATTAGCTATATGGGCCAGTGCTGTCACTGCTTTGTTCACTAATTTTATCATGAATACATTTTGTTTAAAGTTTAGGCTAACTAGCTATATTCATATTTAAGAGAACAAACACCACAAAATTTTATGTCATTTTTCTCCTGTATATCAGTTTTAAGGTGCTTATGTTGGTGCTTTAGGAGACTTTTCCTATGGGGAAAAAAAAGATCATGTCAATTATTTGTAACCTTTCTTTCACTTTTATTTCTTTAAACATTTATTATCTGTAATATAATTTCCTCCTTAAAATTACTCAAAATCATAACTGGAAAACAAGTTAATAATATATCTGAATCCTAACAATTTAAGTATAGATTGCATTAACAGTACAGGCTGACCTAGTAAATATAGTTCATGGGAAGAATAACAAGGATAAAAGTAAGCCAGAATAATGACTACAAAATGGTAAGGGACAACCAAATTACAGGCAGGTGGAATTTGAAACACTACCTAATCTAAGCCCCTTGTTTTCTTTCATTTACAGATGAGAAAACCTGAGGTCCCAAGAGGTAAAATTTCAAAGTTACAAAGCTCATTGAAAACAGAGGCAATACTAGAAATCAGGTCTCCTGACTCAAAATTCTGTGGTATTTAAAAAATAACATAATGCATTGGTACTAAGCATTAGGGAAAGAAATCTGCCAATTCAGAAAACAGAAATTATGAAGCTCTAAAGTTTTTCTTTTAAGTCAATAAGCACAACACAAAGAAATATTTGCAAGTTAGCAATATACACAAGCTGACTTATTATATAACAAAAACCTTAGGGCTGCTACAACAATAATAATAAAGTAGTTCACCCTACTTCAGGAAATATGATAAAATAACAAACTGAAAAATATCATTGTCTTATAAATACTAAAGTTACTAGTAAATGGTAATTACCACAATAGAACACTGAATCTTCAAATTCTGAATTATTACAAAGTAAAAAACTTATTTATCAGGGAAAACTGGTGACAGTAGCCAATAAAATGAGAATAAATTAAGAGCAATGCTAGCATACCAATGAAAATGTCCAAGAAAGGACACAATAGATGTCCTGAGATAAATGATCATTTAAAAAAGATAATCTGAAGGGAACTATTCTTTAATGCATTTAAAAAGACTGAACTACTCTCTTTTGTAGGAAGTAATGTATCAGTGTGGGATTTGACTAAAATATAAAGTGACACTTTACTTTCTTTTATCTTTATGGCAACAAAATTTTATTTTCTAATTAGAGATCATGGAATAACTATTAACTTATTATATTAAATCTGCAAATCAACCAAATGGGAATGTCCAAGAAATGGCTGGTTTTAGGTGGGCCATAACATTTTCTTTCCTAGAAGATTCTGGATCTTGGGAGAAAATTATAATCCTGTATCAGTTTGACTATTAAAGAAATACAGGATTAAAATTAGAAAAAAATCCCAGGAGACTGTGTACAGTCAGATAAAGGGTAAGGTTGCTTAGTCCTCCTATTCCTTTCCCCCTCATATCACTGGAGCAAAAAAAACTAAATTATGAAGAGATGTCAATGTAATTCTTTTCATATAAAACAGAAGTGACTTAAGAATAATGTATAAATGCGGCTACTGGGAAACAAATGGATTGAATACAAACACTTTATTTTAATCTGAAAAGGCATAAGTTTAGAAGAATCATGAATTCCTTTGTAAATCTAGGTTCCATAAAAATGCTCTTTTGTGTGTTGATGTGTGGAAAAGAATGGCGAAATCCTTACTTTATGTAGGTTTAAAAAATTATATATACAAACAGACAATTAAGATAATGTTACAACTTAAAATTTAAAGTTTTGCCATGATGAATATCAAGTTATGGTTATTAACTTTTTAAAATTTGTTCTTAATCAGAAAGAATTAGGCACATGAAAGTCCTCAAAGGAAAAAAAGTTATAGGGTCTATACTGTTTATATTTTTCTTGTAAGTTTCAATGGAGTCAATTTATTTAATTTCATATCAGAAGAAAAATATAATGGAGATCCCCAAATTCCTGTTGAGAGTGACCTACAAATTTAACTGTATAAATTTGAGATCATGCTCTGTTATACATATATTAAACAGCTAACACAGTTTAAGGGCATAGCTACTCTTGAAAAAGAACCTCATTTTTAAAAGGTTAATTGAATTGTTGACTCAAAGATTATACCAAACGAATAATGGTCTAATTGCCTACTTTGTTGTTGCTGCTAAATACTACTGAAGACCATATCCTTGTTTTCTATAACCCCCAAGTTCTAACAAAAACAAATAATATCCGTAGAGCCATTTACAGGTTACAGAGCACGATTACACATGTTATCTCATTTGATCCTTACAACCAAAGTCCAGTGAGGTAGGTTTGGGGACCAAAAATTACCTTATCCTCATTTTAGACTGAAGAAATGGGAGACTAAATGACCTGTCCAGCTCACATCATAATTATGGGTCTTTGAATTCCAAGCCTAATGGAATTTTCATTGCACTAGACTATGTAAGTCATCCAAGTGATAATATGTAAATATAGCTTTGGCATGTCAAAAGCAGTATAAATATCATCATAATGAAATTTTGGTATGTTACTGTTTTCTAAGCTCTGGCCAATGATCCACTAAAATTTTTTTTTTAAGTAGTTCCTTTTATATCACAGGGATATAGCCCCACCAAGATAGTTACAACTTGTTATATCCAGCTCTTATCACAAAGAAACTAATGAGGTAGGCTAAAACGTAGTAAATTTTTTCTAAATTAAAGAGATTCTTAGAATTTTCATACATCTGCTCTAAGAAGCTGAAAATCATTACTAATAAAGGTTTGCTTGAATGTTCATTTACCCAACTAGTCTACAAAGATCTAACTTAACATAAAACCAACAAGAGCTTAAATACTTCTAAGAATTGCTATTCACCTTTTAAAATTAATAAAGTGTTGGTACAAGTTTGTGTATATATTTCTTGCGCAAGTTACGTATTTATTACTTGCCACATGTTATTCTGGTAAAGCAGAGACTTCATTTCACTCAATTTAAATTTAGATCCTTCAAATTCCTTTGAGGTGAGAATCTCACTACTAAGGCTAAAAGTGAGTTTTATGACATGTGTTGTTCATTCATAAATATTTATTGAAAAACCTACTATATACTAAGCACTTTGTAGTTGTGATTAATCAATTTTTCTTTGAAACCAATTATTGTTTTGAGCTTAATATTATCTTTTGCTTTAATTATTGAACAAATTAAACAGTATTGGTGAAATCGAAGTACTTTTTGAAAGCCTCTTGATTATATATTAACATTTTAGAGAGAACTATTATTTTCTCAGTTGTCAGCTGTATAAATAAAATACTAAACATTATCACATGCCAATCAAAACACAAATTAAAGTTAAACAGATGGTAAGAAAGCTGTCCCAACTTGTTCAAGTTGGTTTAAAGGAACTGAGACTTTGAAATTGCTGGTTTGCCATAGTTCTTTAACTGTTTCTTAAAAAAAAATTCTTAATTTAAAACACCAGTTTGATAAATAACATGACCCGAACTAAATACTGTATCTAAAACGATGCATTGATGATATTAAATAAATTTTGTGGAGCAAAATTAAGATACTTAAAGTAACTGAAATGTCAACACAGCATTTACATATATGCTGACAGTGAGTTTAACAAAGAAGATAAAATGCATATATAAAAAATAGGGAGCACAAAGTTAAGATATTCATAACTGTCTACACTTGGCCTACTTGTACAAGAAAATCAATTAACATTCTGGCAATTGATAATATAATGCAGATGGCGATGGATGACAACATCTTTGAGCTCAAACTGGTACCTTCTATTTTAACTTATTTTTGTTTCTGAATGTTTGTTTTGGTCCCCTCATGCTGTTCTCAGGGGAGATTCTCAGAAAAAAAGCCTTATGAATTACTAAGTTACTGCATAAATGAGTTGTTGTAAATTTGGCCTTCAGAGGAAAGGTTTACTAATTGTCAGTTATGAGGGAAATTAGAGTCTGCCTGTCTAGTACTAACTCCAGTTCCAAGGAGAAAGACGATGAAGACAGAGGAAAAAGAAAAATGCTTTGGGGCTAAATGTTCAAATATGTTCTATAAAGAGCTAATCATAAACAATAAGACATATGTACTTTGAAAAAATATGACATACAAATTATCAGAAAACTGATTTTTGCACTTGATGAAAGCCTTTTTTTTCAACACCTAATTTCTTGGTATTTTTTATTTTAAAGGAGAGGAAAAAAGTACACATGAATTAAACACATGTCAAGGAATGTACTACAGTAGCCCTCAAACAAATCTCTTAAATCCTTAATAATCTTAATCCCTTATATTTCATAATGCTTTACAGTTTTCAAAAAGCTTTCATATGATTTTTCATGTGATCCCCATTTGACAACTTTGTGAGGTAAGTACTTATTTTCTATCTTCATTTATAAACAAGGGAACTGAGGCTCAGAGAAATTTACTTGTTAAAGGTGACAAAACTGGCGTATGACAAAGCCAGGCCTCTCTAGAGTCTTGGAATATTTTCCGAAGTGTGATTCTTGGATTACCTGCATTAAGAATCACCTGTAGTATTTTTAGAACTACAGACTTTAAAATTGGACTTTACTTACTGAATATGAATCTTTAGGGGTGGGGCCCCAAATTCCACATTTATAATGGACAATAAAATGAAGAAAAGTTGTATATCAGGTAATGATACAAAAGCACAACATTGAGTCCAGCTAGATATTTATGTGATATAATATGATGCCATCAGCTCATTATCAGGCGGCAAGTTAGTTTTAAACAGCCTGCAGCCTGGCTGCAGATCAGAATCACCTAGAAAGCTTTTTAAAAAAAACTACTAATTCTCCTCTGAATGAGAGGAAGGTGTTGAGCATCAGAAGTTCCGCAAGGGATTCTTATCTATAGTCAGGGCTGAGGACCACTTGTTTAAATACGCTTTTCTATAAAACACATCCAGCATTTTCCACAATTTTTCTTTCCCTTCTAAGCAATTTCATGCCTAATAAAGTTTGCAGTTTTTATTGTAAATTGTTTAAACAGTACACGACAAAATGTCAAACATTTTTGAATTGATATTGGTAAGACTAAATATTATACTTCACAGCAAGACTAATCATGCTTCATTTAGTTACAATGATTTTCAAATACCTCAATCACCACTTTGGACTTAGGTTATATATATTTCAACTGTAAAAAAAAAAAGGTCCAGAATCTGAAAACAAGAACGTGGGGCAAAAAGCTGTAGCCTAATGGCTACTGGGCAATGCAAATGCAGACAATCAAGTCACTGATAGGAGGGGCCTGGGTACCACGATCTGGTGGCTTTGGCAAGATCACATCTCACTGTAGAAAAATACAACAAAGAATATAGAGAAAACATTTTGTCATTTTGTAATTGTGATTCCCACAAAAAAGTTTATAATGTGTGATGTTTCTCTTATTACATGCCTCCATGGTACAGATCTGAACATGAAGTTCTCTGTGAATCAATACTACTACATGGGAAAAGATGACTACAAATTAAACTTCTTCCACCATGCATATGGTTAAGTTATAAAAACATAGCCAGTAAAAGTAATATTTACAAAAGTAATAAAGAGCACAATTATAGAGAAAAAATGTCCATCTCCACCTTTTATTCCATTGCAAATCCTAATCCTGTATGTCTCTGGATGAAGATTATTTTGATAGAATTTTTAAAGAGCCTTCAGTAGACTATTCAGATTCTTCCGCTGATCTTATATCCTATTAGCTAAAATACCCTTGCTGATTTATCAACTTCTCCGACAGTTTAAAAACATAGTTCTTCTTTACTTAGTGGAAAGAAAACTACAAAGTCCAACTATTCATCTGAGAAATAAGCCTTGCATAGAAAATTTCCTTAATTCTGAAATTTTGTTTTATTAATACAACTACCAGAATGTTATCTCACAACTAGTTGATATCATATGAAAGTTCACTACAAAGCAGTCACCACACATTTAGGGTTTTTCTAAATATAAAATAAGTGGGTTTATAAAAATGCTTACCAGACAAATAATTATCTCTTCATAACCTAGAAATAAGAATTATTTATGTGATGATATAATTATTAGCATTTTTGATGCCTTGATGTTCCAAGTTTGATGCAATATAAAAAGTAAAAGTTTACTTTTCCAATGGACACAATCTGCACCTGACTGAAAGCATGATAACAGTGAGTTACAGCAATCAGTCAAGCAAAGGCAAAGAATAAAGTCTGCTTTTTAAATAGCGCAAGTTTTCCACCTTCGGACAATTTAAGCACTGGTTCCATCTTCTTCAATAACCCGATTCATGCTGGTACCGTGGGTGATGTGAGTCATGGGATTATTACTGAGGTCTCTGATGCTGCTATGTCGGGACTGTTCATTGAGCCGGTGAGAGCTACTGTGCCTCGAGTGATCCGTCAGTCGTGACATGCTGCCGTGAGGTAGTCTCTCTTCCATTCCTCTGTAACTGCAGGGAGTGTACCTAACACACAAGAGTTTATTTTGAAGCAGGTAACAGAACACACCAGAAAACTAAGAACTGTCATGAAAATGCCTCATTACGTAAAATGATTAGGAAACCAACAAGTGAAAAAGTAACAACCAACTTTTGATGATTTTACAGTAATTTCAAAAAGTAGACTTATTCACATGGTTGACCAGAAAGGGAGAAACCCATCTCATTAAATTCAGAATTAAGGTCTTATTCTTTGCAAAGAGACAGAAGCTAAGGTTAAATAGAGCTGACTGATATAGAGCTACCTGCAAAATATGGATACTTTCCACATTCAAATGAATTTTGGATTATGAGGTGGGTTCTGGCAGAGGAGGAACAAGAATAGAAGAAATAGGGCATTGACCCAGGGAGTCTATAAGGCTGGTTATAATTAGTAGTACAACAAACTCAAATTTTACTGAAAGACTAGGGTTGAAAGAGGGAGCATATGAAATTAGAGGAGAAATTAGTGTAACCTAAAAAAAAAGGTGAATGAATTGTCAAGCAATGATGACAGTATGTGCCGACAGCTTCTTTCTAGATATCCCAGTCAACAGCTGAACAACTACCTAATTACTTTTCATTAGGGCTTGAGGCTGTGAAGATGCTATTTCATAAAAGCTACATCTATTTAAATATTCTAGTAACAACCTCATAACATTTGTAACCTATATTCCAGATAAAGCAAATTCTCTCCTTACCCCTAGCCCAAGACCCAGCTTTTGAGAAGTACAATGTATGTGAACTGTGTTACACTGCGTATTGTAGGCAGGCAGTCTTCTCTCCATCATTGTGTTTATCTTGAAAGACAACAGTGGGAGCATCAGAGATAAGAAAACACACTTACATATACCTCTTTGTAAAAAAGTAATTTAGGATAACAAAGCTCAAAGAAAATGTAACTGAATATAATTTATAACTTTAAGTAACATATTAAATTTTACTTTAATACTGCTAAAATTAAAAAGGATATAGCAGGCCATTCCTTTTTAAAATAGTCAATGGGGGGGCACGTAGGTGGCTCAGATGGTTGGTTAAGTGACTGACTTCGGCTCAGATCATGATCCTGGAGTCCCAGGATCAAGTCCCGCATAGAGCTCCCTGCTCAGCAGGGAGTCTCGTTCTCCCTCTGAACCTCCCCCCTCTTGTGCTCTCTCTCTCATTCTCTCTCAAATAAATAAATAAAATTTTAAAAAAAATAGTCATCAGAGGTGCCTGCATGGCTCAGTTGGTTGAGCGTCTGACTCTTGGTTTTGGCTTAGGTTGTGATCTCATGGTTGTGAGATCAGCCCTGCGTGGGGCTCCATGCCCAGCATGGAGGCTGCTTAAGATTCTCTCTCTCCCTCTGACCCTTTCCCCACCCCATCCCCTGCTCACATGTGTGCTTGTTCTCTCTCTAAAAAATAAATTTTTTTTTT